TTTGCAGTCCATAGTTTCTCCCCAACTCAAGCCCAATGCGCTATCCTTCTGAAGATGGACAATGTGTCAGCAGTCCGCTACATCAATCACTTGGAGGCACAAAATACAAAATTCTGACCTACATGCCTTGTGATTGCTGGCAATTTTGCCTGAGACACGGCATTTCAGTCACGGCAGAATATATTCAAGGTCTCTCCAACCCTACGAAGGACTGGTATTCACGCCAACTCAGAGATTCCAGCGACTGGCACTTGGATTCCATGGTCTTCCAAGACATCTGGAACCTATGGAGTCTATTGGAAATAGATCTTTTCACTTCTCGTTTGAATGCTCAACTTCCCCGTTTTTTCAGTTGGAGACCAGATCCGATAGCACTGGCTATGAATGTTTTCTCCAAGGAATTATGATTTTTTTTACCTTTCAATCTACATCACCAGTCCGGCACCTGTTGATCGTGGCTCCTCTATCGCCGTCCCAACCATAGTTCTCTTCTCTTCAGGAGATGGTTATCGACCTTCCATCTCTCGAGTGCCTTCTATGGTGTACCTCATCCTCTTGTTCTCCAAGGTCTCTTGCATCTCATAGTGTAGTCTATTTCAGGGAACCTTGGTCGGTCAAGGGAGTTTCGCAATCAACTCCCCAACTTATCAAGGGTGCACCCAACACGAGACAGGCTTATAAATCTGCTTGGAGCAGATGGCATAGTTGGTGCATGAAATTAAATTTAAATCCCATATCAGCTCCTTTTATGTCTGTCCTCCATTTTTCTGACTTCTATGATGAAGGTAAAGCCTATCGCACTGTGGACCTTACCGATCGTCCATTTCTGCTGGCCATCAAAGTTTTGATTGGACGCCTGTCGGTTGACATCCTGTCATATATTGACTTCTCTGAGGAATATGGTTTGCTCATTCACCCTTACCACAATACTCTGTCTTGTGGGACATCTCTATTGTCTTGAATTTTTTTTTTTTTTTTTCTTGCAAGAGGTTTTTCTGACGTACGAGCTCGTGAGGTGGTTGCTCGTTCCTTTACTCCAGAAGGTGTCCTCTTTGACATTTCACGGAGGACAAAAACCTCCTCTAAAATCTATCTTACCCAGTTTTCCCTGATAGATCTCTCCTTTGCCCTGTTGCATACTAATGGGTGTGTGAACATCGTTCTACTACGTTACAGAATCCTTTGAAACAGGAACTCTTTATCTCCTTCCAAAAGTCGCGTCTTCCGGTGTCTACTCTAGCCTGGTGGGTCAAGTAGACATCTCTAGCAGGTATTGATACCTATGTGTCTGTGCCTCATTTGGTTCGTAGGGCAATGGCTTCTAAGGCTTCCTCGATTGGTTGTCGCTTGGAGGATATTATGAGAGCGGCTGGTCTTCGGAGTCTACATTCCATGATTTCTACTTTAGACCTATTCAACACTTCACAGGAGACATAATTTCACAGCTTTGAACTAGCATAATAGGAGCCTCCGTGTCTTAATAAAATTTACAGATTTTACTATTAACATGACGTAAAGTCATGATTTTATTAATGACACGGAGGCGAGTATTATCCCTCCCTCCCATCCCTGGAGGTTTGGTCTTCTCTGGGTAAGTTGACTTCACGGTAAGTCTTTTTTGATTACTGGGTTTTATCCTTGTTAATGACTGTCAAGAGCTTACGGTTTGACTAAACTGAATTTCATGTTATTTTTATATATATATCTGATATTTCATGTAATGCGAATTTATGCATAAATCCAGTTTTATACTTGGATATTACCATATTCTCCTTTCTCTTCCAGCTTGACTTCGAGATCCAGTTTAAGGCTCGTATACCCTCTAATTGGAGCCCACTTTTTATTTGGATTTGTTGTCCTTGTTCGGGATCGCAAGAAAGAGGAAGTAGTATACTGAACACTGCCTATTATGCTATAAAGAGGATGCTGATTGGCTGTTCCTGTTGCTAGGAAGATATACCTCATGTTATTTACTGGTTTCTTTTATACTGATTTAATGTTATTTTTCTTTGCTGCTGAGGTAAATAAAGAAAGAGTGCAGCATAATACTCGCCTCCGTGTCATTAATAAAATCATGACTTTACGTCATGTTAATAGTAAAATCTGTAAATTTTGCACAAAGGTGCTCAGCATTAGATCTGCAGTGCTTTTTCCTTATTTTATTGATGTTTGGATCTATCCATTGTAGATGCAACAGTGTTTGGAACTTAGCAGCTTTGTGTTTAATTTATTTTCACTTTTATAGAGATGCTGCCTTTACCTTTTTATCTTTCTCTGTTGATGAAAGGAGCAGTAGTTTAGGATAACAGAAATGCCAGAGGTCAATCCAGGTTTCACAGTAGCAATGGTGGTATTCAAGGCCATTTCTTATTAACCCCTTAAGGACACAACTTCTGGAATAAAAAGGAATCATGACGGAATATTTCCATCATGTGTCCTTAAGGGGTTTAGGGTTGTCTAGATTTTCCAACCATTATTAACAAGTCAACTCATGGAAGTTGAAGTTGAGTCAATATCAGTAAATATGTTACTTTAAGCTTTAAGGTAGCATTCCCTTTTTCTTTTGACATAGGCTTACTACTAATACCCCATTCCATTATTTATTTACAGAATGATTCACTAACACAAGCATAGACAGGAATATAAAGTGCATATAAAGTTAATTTTATAATATAAAGTTAATTTTAAATCAAAGGCCACAAATTTAAGTCATGAAAAAAAGTCATTGTGTATGAATGATCAATATTATAGTACAAGTCATACTAACGATAATAAACTAAATTTCTTTCATGCATTGTTTTCATCTAAAGTAAAAACAATACCAAATTTATCTTATATTAATATTTAAAAAGAATTACTGCTGTTTAATACCTTACATAGTAATATTTCTTTTTTAATATGTATACTATTTGTGTTTATAGATGATCCAGGTTATTGAAAATGCTTTAGGAATAAAAATGTAAAAATGAAAAAAAAAATGTATTCTGCTGAATGCAATAGACTATAGACTATATGAATAAGTAGCACTATACAGTACTGAAAACGTATTTGTGAACGAAATGTAAAAACAATCAACGCTTAATATAATCAAAACATGCTTTTCCATGATAAAACTTTGTTTAAAATGTTGTTATACTATTCTTATTTGCCATTAAATATAGTTATTTAATGGATATTTTACAAAACTAGAAGTGTTTGGCAACAAATGGCTAATGTGAAGTACCAGTTACACAATTATTACAGATTATTTTTATTTAGATGAGAGCATAATTTATATAATATTTTTTTTTTTTTAAATGAGAAAAAACACATTCAACAAACACAATATGCAGAGAATATATGTGGACAGCTCCTTTTGTTTAGCATTCCTAGTGAGTCATGAAGAGAACTCCTCTGAACGTGATTTAATTTTCCACGGATACTCTCGTACATCGAACAACACATTTATCAAGGTTCTAATGCTGACACAGATTTCTACAATTGCAATAAGACAAAATATCTTTGGCAGCACCAAGGAATTATTTGTGAGTCAATGGTATAGTTGCCCAAAGGTAACACTTCTTTTTTTAATAGTGCAGTAATTCTATAACAGTCCATAACTGACCAGGTGTTGCAGAATACATTTTTGGGACTCATTTTCTATAAGTCAAGAGTAAGAATTAGTAGAGAATACCAAAATGATACCGCACTCAATTTTATAGGAGTTCCTTATGTAGCAGCAGGATGAAGCAGCATGTAGCAGCAGGATGGAGGTAGGCAGATCCTGGGCTGCGTGCTCGGGATGTTGTATCCCTTCAAATGGCCCTGGCCATTGTCCTACAGACAAAGTGAAGGAGATCTACAGTGGATTAATCTATCCTTTTCCTATTTTCAGGAGAATATATACATTATGATTGTCCACCAGGAGGCCTCCTTGTATACTTTTGGTTGGCATCTAACCTAGACTTTACCACAGAATGTTTTTGAATGCATATATTTTTTAATAATTACTTTTATATTTTGCATTTTGATTTTTTGTTTTTCATTTGTTTCTGTATTGGATCTATCACCATATACTCAGGATTAGGACAGACCATTGACACTTTAAGTATCACCATACTCTATTGAATAGATTACTGACATCTGTGTGTCATCTATTTGTCCTAGTTATTTGCTTTGTGCATAGGAACTGTTGGCAGGCAGGATTGTATATGTATATTTGTTTATACTTTAGTGTATAGGGTTATAATACTTATGGTGATTTGGCACTAAGCACTTTAAGTAATGTTTTGCACTTTAAATTTGGTGGACTAGTTATGTTAACTGGGATATACCTGTATATTTATCTTTACATAAATTGGCACTCTTTCCTACACCACTGTGGTGTGCCAATAAACTAACCTTTTTTCTATTTTGTTATAAAATTGCATGCGGTATCATTTTGATATTCTCTATTATTTCATTGTGGGTCTTTCGAGGTGACCTAGATACCTGCACCTAAGGTGTGATTGAGTGCAAGTACTATTTGATTTTTTTGAAGAGTAAGAATTGTTTGAAGATGAATGATGGACATGTAACTCATCATTTAGAATGTCATACCAGTTCAGTTCTAGTACTTGCATTGTTGAATATGGGTTGCATGTAAAGGTAAATGTACAACAGTTTATTCATGCAAAAGAGTCAATTGGAGAAAATACGCTGACAGGTGATTAGCACACTCTAGAACAGGTCCTCGTCTAAATTTGGCAAGCAAACACAGTGAAATAAATTGCTTCTAAAGTTCTGTCTCTCAGGGGGGCCGGGCCTGACCTGTATGGCGGCTGGACACATTCTGAAAGAGCTCCACGGTTAGCCACTGACTTTCTCATGCTTCATGCCCCTCAGGGCCCTAATCTCTTGGCTGATTATGCCTTACTGATAACCTGTAACGACAGGGCTCTTGCAGACGCTTTTCCGCCTTGCTGGACAATGGACTGCCGCTAAGTCCGACAGCAGCCCCATTTCCCCCCCTTGGGACTGGCATGGGTGATCCCGGTCCTCTTCCCAGAGGCCCACTCGCTCATCCTGCAAGCCACCACGGTGGTGACATCGAGCTTGCTGAAGTCCGGAACACTCTGGTGATGGCAGACGCCATGTGTGCTAAAGCTCCCAGTCATGACACTGCTGATATCCTCAGCAAGCTGGATCTTATCTTCGCAAGGTTCTGGAGTATGCTGAGTGAGAGAATACAACTACGTAAACACCATGTACATAACATACAGGGATATAATTTCTAATTAGTGGGGTAATAGCTGCTTGATCCAAGGAGACATCTGACTGCTATTTTGGGGTCAAGAAGGAATTTTTTTCCTAGTTTGTTGCAAAATTGGAAGCACTTCAGACTGGGTTTTTTGCCTTCTTTTGGATCAACAGCAAAAACATATGTGAGGAAGGCTGAACTTGATGGATGCAAGTATCTTTTCAGCTATGTAACTATGTAACTATGTAACTTTGTAACTATGTGCCGACAGGCGGCTCAAATAAGCGTCCGCCACCCATCGACATGGGGAAGAGAGCGTCAGCGATCCCAGCAAGAGCCAGGATCAAGCAGAGAAAGAAGCCTTACCCACCACATGGTAAGAAAGTAGCCATACATGCCACGGGCCTGGGCCCAAAGGCTATACACCCGGGACTATGCACAACAACAAGCAGGCATGCTGTGACCCGCCACCCACCTGAATTACGGTCCCAAATGGGACACCACTCTGCACAATCCCCACACCCTCTGGGGATCCTCACCTACTGTAAGCAGAACCGACATCTTGGAGGGTTCCGGGACCAAGCCCTGTACACAGCTTGCTCAAGTGCATCAAACCATATGGGGACCCTACACCTGCCAGCCTACTGCTTCCTGATCATGGGCATAGGATGACTGTCTGTCCACACTCCTGGGCAGTATCACTGCGTGCATACTGGGACAGGCAGTTATAATTCTTCGGCTTCACATGGCCTCCTGACGTTACAAGCACTATCACCTCTGAGTATTCTGCTTCTGTTTAACTAGCATATGTCTATTTATTTATTTCAGTGGTTTACCTCAGATTATGTATAGCTAAATGCAGACACGTTACTAACATCCATTGGTACTCAACCCTCTTGCCTGCTATGTACATGTCTTGATTAATTCTGCTGTGTATTCTGCTTATAGCCTAGACATATCTTGAGTTCTTTAGTTCACTAATATAAAAAGAGCAATACTTTTTGACATATTCTATTAGCTAGCACTATTTGTTTAACATGCATAGTTACCTTATGATGTAATATATAAAAAGAGGCTGTACTCCACTGGAGTTTAAGCACCAACGTTACCTACATTATATTGTGTGTACCATGTGACTCATATGCTATAACTCCCTGCTTTATATTCTGTACTGAACTATATTTTGCCTCAATAAAACAAAGATTGACAAAAAATAAAATAAAAGAAAGTTCTGTCTCTCAGGTTTAGTCATCTGCTGACATTGTTTTCACAAATATGTTTCATTGTAGAGATAATATCCATGAGCAGAATGAATGAATAATTCGTTTTTCTTTGTTAATAGGAAGTCAGTGATAGGAATTGCTTATTTATTTATTTATTAGCTCTCATCCCTTCATGCATGTAGTAGGTGAAGAAGCAGGACTCATATCTGCAGCCGATATTATTATTTTTAAGTATTTTCTTCAGAGCTAAGGATTAGGTTACTGAGTGTATTACATACCAGTAAACATGACTTTTGGTGAATGTCGTGCGTTATACTTTCTATTACTAACAACTTTTTATTCTTTCAGCGGTTTCCTGAATACTTTCTCTGTGTGAGGGACCACGTTTTGTCTGTCTCTCTTACATTTTTTGTTATATTTTAAGTTTGAAAATATTTTTACTGTTATTAACCTATTTTATGATTTGTGGGACACAGCTACTCCTAGAAGATCTTTAAGCAGCTACATCCCTGCACTTATTTTATTTCTATAAGGCCTAGAATATGTAAACAATATTTTCCTACATTAAGAGCCTGCATGATAAATAATGACACTCCTAAAATAATTACTTGAAGCATAAGAGTTTAGGAATATGCATCACAGTGTATTTATAACATATATAAGAATATCATAACATTGTCTATGGCAGTTTTAAAAATGTTCTGTGTCCAGTTGAAATGCTATTATCATGTAAAATTAATAACAGCACAATAAATATAATAATATAATACAGTGTCTTATAGCATCATTGTTCCACACATATATAATTATATGCCTTCTGATTTCATAATAAGAGCTAATTTTTATTGTAAACAAATCTGACCAGGGATTTAATTCCTCATATTGCCTGAAACAAATGGAGTTGAAAGAATTAGAACCAGTCTCCCCAACAGTGATATTCACTAAAGTATCTTAATGCAGGTTAAAAGCTGATTGTACCCATTGCATTTTCTGACATCAAACAATGCTGCATAAAGGAATGTAAGTATATCTTAAGAAATGTCCTATAGACGCAAATACGGAATTTTAATATGTTCAATGTATTTGTGTCTTAGGCTCAGATAGCTGGTTAACAGAGTGCATAGTTGAATATTTTGTTCAAATTAAAAAATTTATTCAGACCACCTAAATTTCAATGATGCTGCAGTTTAACTATTTATTTTAATAGAGAAGAACACCTTATTACTCCACAGTGACCCAATGGGTCACTGGCGTTTAGGATCTATGAAAGGGGGATAAATATATTGGATTTGTCAGTAACAATATAAGATAAAAATGGTCTTTATTACACATGGACCAATCAGTAGTGTGCTTGTAATAATACATGCAGCTACAAATAGTATCTCTCACTCCTAGCAAGGTGGACTAAAAAGACAAAGTAAAAAAGGGGAGTATTTACTAAACCTCTCACTGTCCCTAGGTAAACCCAATATCCCAGAGACACAAATACCTGCCTCAGAAAGAGCATAGACAGAACCTAAATCCAATCACTGACAAACCATCACCTGCCTATACAACGTCACACCTAAGAGTCAATATGTGCTTATAATATTACATGCAGATAGAAATGGTATGTTTCACTCCTAACTATGTGGACTAAAACAGCTATATAAGGTATAAGAGACCCATAAATAGTATAGGCCAAACAGTGGATTAGTAGTGATACAGGTGGATACGAGTACGGAAAAGACAAAAAAAAAGGGGGGGAGAAACGACAACAAATTAAAAATGGGGAGTATTCACTAAACCTCTCACAGTCTCTAGGTAAGCACAATATCCCATAAAATTAGGTACTTGACTACATCTCAGCACACCTAAGTTCTAAGTGCAAAGGTAAAAATAATGAACCTCTATAAACAAAGGGAAAAAAATAAAGCCTGGAATATATAGTAGAAACAGGAGTATGGATAGGAACTATATCAAATCCCCAGCAAATTGTCTCCTGCCTATACCTCAGCACACCTAAAAGACTGTGTGCTTACCATAGGGTACCTATACCCAGCAAACTGTCTTCTGCCTATACCTCAGCACACCTAAAAGACTGTGTGCTTACCATAGGGTACATATACCCAGCAAACTGTCTCCTGCCTATACCTCAGCATACCTAAAATACTGTTTGCCTACCATAGGGTACATATCTAATATAAACCAAGGAAAAAATACTGAAACCTAGGGCCCACCTAGCAATACATCTGCACACCTACAAATATGTGTGCCCACACAAACCACCAAAAGGGCTGCTGGGATCTTTGTACTACAAATAGCTACAGTCGTACTAGGCCTAATAGATTCCACATTACCTCGGCTCACCAAAATGGTTAGCCTACATACCAAAGAAAATAGTCCACACTAAATCTGAAGAATCAAAAATATACTACTAAGTACTAAATAGGATAAGTGATACCCAAAGTAACAAAAAGAAATATAAAATACACAAAAGACAAGCCCGTTGGGATTTCGGTGTGTATCACCACTTCCTTGTCAAGGGCATAAAAGACTATTTATTTTTGCAGTACAGTGATGGGTTTATTTTTGAGCCCTTTTAATGAAGCTACTTTTGGACAGAATTTGTCCAAATCGAATAGAATGCATTTTAACACTATTATACAATCCATATTTAGTCGATATTCATGATTGTGAGGTTTCAGTTACTCTTGAGAATTCCGTTATGTATTATAAGCTTTCGATCTGGCTGATCCCTGGTTTGTTTGTTTCTTTCTTTCTCTCTCTTTTTCTTTTTCGCTTTCTTTTAATAAATTAACATGTTTAGCCATCGTCTGCGTAATTCTTCCGTGATATGTCCATATGGCGCTTCAGAGTTATGGAATTAAAATGTCCCATCATCAGCCAAAATTTAGACGCATGGCAATTAGTTTAAAACCAGTGTTTATTTGTAATTGCCTTTCCTTTGATGTTTTCCTAATGAGTGTTATTAAGCATAAAACAGAACTGTGAAAAGGTAGGTACTGTGCAGTAAGTTTTGTCCTATATTGAATTGACTCAGTAAAAAAATATGTAATTAGTGATGTCGCGAACCCGAAATTTTCGGTTCGCGAACGGCGAACGCGAACTTCCGCAAATGTTCGCGAACCGGCGAACCGCCCGAAACGCCATTGACTTCAATGGGGAGGCGAATTTTAAAACACACAGGGACTCTTTCTGGCCACAATAGGGATGGAAAAGTTGTTTCAAGGGGACTAACACCTGGACTGTGGCATGCCGGAGGGGGATCCATGGCAAAACTCCCATGGAAAATTACACAGTTGATACAGAGTCTGGTTTTAATCCATAAAGGGCAGAAATCACCTAACATTCCTAAATCACAATCAATATGGATTGACACCTGACATATGACATGTTGACACCTTGACATATGGATTGACACCTGTCCTCAGAGCCCCTGATGCACACGGACACAGAGCAGAATAGAGACTGGTCCCCCTACATAGGGTCACTTGGCAGATATGGATTGACACCTGTCCTCAGAGACCATGATACACACTGACACAGAGCAGAATAGGGACTGTTCCCCCTACATCGGGTCACTTGGCAGATATGGATTGACACCTTGTTACAAACTGCTATTTGTAACGGGCCCTTTAAATGGCAAATTGCCCTGTTTCCCTGGGTTGTGGAGAAGCCTCTTTGCCAGCCTCCTCCCGCATGACTATGGCCCCTGGGAGATTGTGAAAATGTATGCACTTTTATTTGGTGTGTATGGCCCTTTAAGACTGTCGGTGGGCATATTGGGGCTTATGGACTCTTTATGTGACTGGTGCTGGCCCTTTAAACACCTTTTTTGGGACATCAGGAAGATTGGGACACTGCCCCTTTAAGGCCGTGTCCCCAGACTTGTTGGGGACACGGCCCCTTTAAGACGGTGTCCCCTGTGTCCCCAGACCTGGTGCAAACCCTTTGTGCCTGCCTTGCTATTTCCCACTTGGTTCAGTAAATGGGAAATTATTTCAGCTGCAGAGACTAAGTCCCATTCGCATGGGACTTAGTCTTTTTTCAGCCGCTTTTTTCAGCCTTATTTCAGCTGCAGAGACTAAGTCCCATTCGGCGATGGGACTTAGCCCTTTTTCAGCCGTTTTTTTCAGCCTTATTTCAGCTGCAGAGACTAAGTCCCATTCGGCGATGGGACTTAGTCTTTTTTCAGCCGTTTTTCTCAGCCTTATTTCAGCTGCAGAGACTAAGTCCCATTCGGCCATGGGACTTAGTCTTTTTTTCAGCCGTTTTTTTCAGCCTTATTTCAGCTGCAGAGACTAAGTCCCATTCGGCGATGGGACTTAGTCTTTTTTTCAGCCGTCTTTTTCAGCCTTATTTCAGCTGCAGAGACTAAGTCCCATTCGGCGATGGGACTTAGTCTTTTTTTCAGCCGTTTTTTTCAGCCTTATTTCAGCTGCAGAG